TTTTGGGCTCGCCATTTTTGCCTCCAACTGTAGTGGAGATAATGTGACCAGCAGCTGAATCATTCCCATCAACTACAGAAGCCGACATCTCCTGCAATGCAAAACAAGCAAATGTGTCAATGCGTAAATAAATACAAATTGAAACGCAACACAACTGGCCAACTGAAACCTATTCACATAAGCACGACTATATTAATTAGAACATTTGTCAACTAATGAATAGCAAAACACAGTTGGAAATGTGAAATTCGGAACCTGAAAAGCATGAGAATTTAAAGAGATATGCTATGCTTAGAACCCAAAAATAAAAATAAATAAGAGAGAGAGAGAGAGAGAACAGAAAGAGCAATGTTTGACAAGAATTATGGCTTGCAAGAAATTTTCACTACCAACAAACTTGAAAATGATACAAGAGATCTATAATTTTAGGCACAATTCACCTACAGTCAATTGAAAGTAGCTTTAAATTCGCCTGAAGTAAGTAACAAATTTATAGAACTAACAATAGTAGTAATAATCATAATAAAGAAAAAACGAGTAAAAAATAGTTCAAAAATCTAGTAACAGATGCAATTTACAGTAGTCCATTAAAAAGTATCCCTTTTGGATATAATCAGAAGCAGCAAAATTAAATTAAAAAATCTGGAAAAAAAAATAAGGAGGGAAGAATAAGTCTTGAAAAAAGACTAAAAAACTAAGAGAAAATTCCAAAAATCAAGGGAAAACAAAAATTAACTACTACACAGGTCCTTCCTCGCTTTCTCAGAGATTCAGGCGAAACAAATCTTAAAGAAGAAATACCTATGAAACGGGAATATTTCAGATCGACGGAATATTCTCCGAATATACTTCTGGCACCCACCGCGCAGTAACAAGCCAAAAACTCAAGCTTTTCAGCTAGATCGAAGGTAAAAAAAAAAAAAAAATAGGAAACCAGCTAGAATTTCGTCAAAAAAAAAAAAAAAAAAACACACACACACACACAGAGAGAATGCAGACAAGACACTAGAAAATCGATTTTACAATTATGCATACAATTTACAATACCTTCTCTGTTTCCATGGGTGCAGCAGTGGAAAGCCTCTCTGAGGCTGGTGGTGGTGGAGCTTGGTCAAGAACATTATGGTATTCATTATCGCGTGGTGGATTTTGCTGATGCAGCTGAGGTCCCAGTGGCACCATTCTCTCTCTCTCTCTCTCTCTCTCTCTCTCTGCCCTTTGCATTCACATATTTTTATGATTTTTCAAGCTATACTTTTCTTTTTCCTTTTTATTTTCCTTTAAGAAAATATTATTTTTTTCTATTTGTCCCTAATATCCTATAAGACCCTGATCCATATTATTTTTAAAATATTTTTTTTTTCATACTTTACACATTTTTTAGTAAAATATATTACACGTAAATCTAAAAAATTATTTAAAAATACATTCTTAACTAAATAATGGGACTCAAAAAATAATAATTGGAAAATTAAGGCTCATTTTCTTGACATTACTAGTATAGCTTCAATTTGGAAGGTAAAATTCTTTGATAATTAAATCTTTAAGGTAGACATTAAAATCATACATGACATTCACATTATTTAAAGGGGACCATTAAGTAGCTTTCACCATGTGAAAATCGTTTATGATTTTTATCATAAAATACACTTATCGTCCCCCAGCTTCGCCTTATTTTCACTTTTATCTCTATTATGTGTCCTTTTTTAACATGGATTCAAGTGCGAAAGTCCATGTTTAGTCAAGAGATTGTTGTAGTAATTGTTGTAAAACCGATTATAACACATCTCGCGTTGTCAAGTTGATAACGTTGCCCAAGGTACAACATGTATCTCATCAGTTGGATGCAAAGGTCGGGTTGATGGTGGTTTCATTCTAAGCCCTTGTTTGAGCCATATTATTGAAATGAAAATACATTTTAAATAGTATATTGATCGGAGATATGTGGTTAAAAAATAAAAAAATATTTTAAATTAGCGTGTAATATTATTTTATTAAAAAATGTGTGACTAAAATGATGTCAAATCACTATTGAAAAATATATTTTTTTTCAAATAATGTGGCTCAAACAAGGCATAAATGAGAGATCAGAAGGTGGAGCATATCGCAAAGACGAAGGTGTGGCCACCCATGAGGGCCATAATGTCGCATGGGTTTAGACTTCTTGGTCCAGATCGAGACTAGTTGAGACGCTTGAGATTGGGGATGGGATTTGGCCATTTGCAGCGCTCAAGCTTGCTCTTCTTGCATTCCTCCTGCCTAGTCGCACTGTCCATATTGGTCCTCTAACAAAATCGTCAATGCAAATGCCAAAATCGTCAATGCGGAAATCGAACACGACTTCCTATGATATAAAGGACCTAAAAATGATTTTCCTATTTATTTTATCATACATTGGTCTTTCAACTTTTTGATAGTGTTACATGTCGCGCAATACTAGTTAATAGTATTCAAAGGTTCCTACTATAATAACTAGAAAGAAAAAGTTATAACTACTTTTTTAAGATCAATCGAGCCATTAGCCATATTCTCTTACAAAGAATAAGCCTTCAATCGATTCATAACAATACATTATTCGAACAACGCATTCGCCTTAGTCAAGTAAAACCCAAAACAACATAACCAAATAATCGTTTAGCCAATGACGATGATATTGTCTATATTCGATAAATGCAGCAATACCAATAGATTACGGTAACATTCTTCATTAGAAAGCCTATTAGAAGGATCTAAGTTCTCGTTATAACAGACGACTAAAAACTAGAGGAGCCCTTCTAAAATAAGTTAGATTAATAAGCATAAATGGATAACACGTAAGATTAGGTCCGGTCCTTCAACGTAATAGCCTTGCTAAAGTCCTAAGCTTTAGGAGACTGCATAGCGTGGAAACTCGGGCTGGTACCTGGCTTTGAAGGCAGTTTGTGATGTTTCACCAATGGGACTAGCGACTGCACCACATCCGCCATTAGTGGCCG